TGTTTTGTCGTGTTCATGTCCAATTGAGACATAAGTGACTAATTTGATTTTTGCCACTGGTGTAATCAAGACAATATAGCGATGGTGAATGGTCATGTTTTCGGAAGTACTGTACACAAAGAATAACTAGTGTATATTCTGCTTGGCTTAGTTTTGTTTGCTTGAAAATGTAGCACTTTGATAAATGAAATTCTTTAATAGTGGGGGTGGTATAATACAGCGTTTACACAAATGACTGAAAGCACTCAAATCTTCTTTCAAGTTGGTGTCAAATTCCTTTTTGAAGCTGTTTGCATTTTGTCCCTCCCACCCACATGCCATTTGCATTTGTTTTAACATTTATGCAGAAATTCTCCTTTTAAGTTTATGAATGGTAGAATATTGTATAGGCTGTTGAAAAAGATACATTAGAATATACTATGTTAGCATGTTATGTTAGAGAGTGGGCGTGTGTCCCTTGTGCCCTGTGGCTTGGCAGCGACGTGAGAGTTCTTTCACTAGAACCACTGGTTTTCCTAAGCTTAGCAAGGGGGGTGAGATCTGTGGCCCTCCAAATCACCCCAGAACATGGGCCATGGTGGCTGGGGCTGTTAAGTAGAGCCGTGCTGGGTAAGTCCAAAGGTCCAGTTCTTGCAGTGTCCAGCAAAAGGTCTATGGGAAGCCTGGAAGCAATATCTCAGCGCAACAGGGCTTTCCCCACTTGCAGTTTCTAGCAATTGATATTCAGAGGCATCCTGTAACATTGAAGGTAGAACATAGTTATCCTAGTTAGTAGCCACTGAGAGGCATTTCTCCTCTCTGACCGTTTAAAGCCATCCAGGTTATGAAACCTTCCTCCTAGGTATAATGTCACCAGAAATCAAAAAAGATCTTAGACCAATGTTTATGTACACAACAGTAGCAGCCAGGATCTTAATTGTCAGAAACTGGAAAAGTGATAAAACACCTACGATAAATGAGTGGCAGGTCCAAATGATAGAATATCTGCAGTTGGCTATGAGGACAGGGAGAGCCAGAGGATACCCAAAACAGAAAGTACAGAAAGAATGGAAAATCTTTAAAGAATACCTGGAAAACTATTGTAATAACAAACATCTCCTGCCAGAACTAGATGATTCTTATAAAATAAGAAACATAATGTTTTTATTATCTGATAAAAACAAAGAAAGTAATACAGTAATTTGGAACTGTGTGTGAAAAAACAATAGAAATAATAATGCAATGAGTCTAATCAGAAGTTAAATGTATATATTTTCTTTTTTTAATTTCTTTCTTTATTAATTTCTTCTCTTTTCTCTCTTTTTCTTTCTCTCTCTCTCTTTCTTTCTTTCTTTCTTTCTTTCTTTCTTTTTCTTTTTGTTCTTTCTTTCTTTCTTTCTTTCTTTCTTTCTTTCTTTCTTAATTTTTTCTCCCTTTTCACTTTCTTCTTTTAGTCTCCTTTTTCTGTTCTGCTAAGAAAGAGATAAAGTTAAATATGAAAAGTTGACTAACTCGAAGTGATGTTTTGTAGTTTGTTAACTATTGTTAAAGATGGTCAACTGTAGTGAATTGATGTATTAGTTACTGTTGATTTATTGTTATTGTCAAATCTTAAATAAACTGTATTTACAAAAAAATAAAATAAAATAAAATAAAAATCAAGCCATCCAGTTTGGTGGCCATCACTGCAACTTGTGGGAGCAAACCCCACCGTGTGAAGAAGTACCTCCTTTTGTCTGTCCCAAATCTTTCAACTGTCAGCATAAACATTCAAAGACGAATCCAACAATATCTCTAAGGCCACATATTCCCCACCTCTTGGCCTAAAGAGTGATTTTTACACATCATGCATATCATCTAGAATATCAGCAGTCAAATGACTTATTTGTGTTATTTTATTAATTTAAAATATTTCATGCCCACTCTTCCTTGCTGAGAAATCCCAGAGTGGGTTACATTGCAATTCAATCTATAGCACAGACAAAGAAGCAGAAAATATGTAACTGCTAATAAAACCAGCAAGATAAAACAGCAGACTCAACCAGTGCCAGCCAGCACATATCAAACAAAAAGCCTGGACTTACAGTTGAACACATGACCTACTCCCACTGAAAATATGTTTTTGTTGCTACCATGGGGTGTTTGAAATGTGGTAACTGTTTCCCATAGGCAAGGAATCACTAGAAGTTGCAGTCATCATATCATGACCTTGTCCTTAAGGCAGCATTTCACTGTTTTCAAAACAGCTGTGCTTAAGTGCACACAATGGAATGCTGAGTAAAACCAAGGATTATGGTTCCAGGATTAGCATATCCCATGGAGCTCTCATTTTGCTCAGCTTGGTCTCGACTGTGATAGATTTGTCCAGGGACATCTGAAAGTGCCAGCTCTATTTCTGCAGGACAGTTTGGAACCTAGTCCTAGGTAGAATCTACACACATATGAAAAACACTGTGAAAATGCTTCCCCCCTCTTACATTTTGAAAAATATACTGAATTTGTCATAGCTCACCTTCACCATCCAGTGTCACATTCATATATTGCACTTTACAACAAACCTAAAATGTTTTATTTGCAGCTGTATAGCTAAGTCCCTAGAACATGCTCTTAGGAGATGTTGTGTCAGTGATGTTTAGTCAACCAATTTCTAAGCAACAGCAAAGAAGGTGAAAGTGGCTTGTTCTTCTTCAACTCATCACCCTTTCAGGCCTTATCTGAAGGCAAGAGACATGTATGTCCTCCATAGGGAAATGTGCATTCTTCTGTTCAAGGTTCTGTCAGTCATGACAACAAGGAGAATGGCCATATGAGATGAGATGTTCTTGGTGGTGGCACTTCACCTATGAAACTGACTCCCTTCCACGTGGAACCAGGTTGCCTTCAACTCTACCTATGGTGAGGTGCAATTTGAAAACCCATCTATTGGTATAGATACCCTCCATAGGAGCCAACTCCTAGGGGCTGAGGTCTCTTCTTCCCCCCCTGAAGTATTTGTGGGGGTCCCTCAAGTTGAGGTGAATTCCCATTCAAACGGGGTGTGTGTGTGTTGCATCATGTGATTGATTATGTGGGGTGAGGCTTACCTGCCTCCTCAATATTTTATTCGTTGGCACCCCAATACCCTCCAACATTCTTCAGATGAAAATAGGGACATTTCTCACTCTCCTACAACTGACCCCCATCACCCCCCATTTTTTGTCCCTCTACCCCTTGCAGAGCATTTCTTATCAGAATAAGTGCCAGCATCACTACACCCATGGGACTCAGCACATGCGCCCTCCACTGTCCTGAGAAAACCCCTTAATCCTGATTTTATTCTATTTTATTCTTTAGTAGATTTACAAAAAGAAAAGCACACACCAAAAAATAAATTTTAGAAAGGGGCAATATTAGATGCAGATGCACGAAGTTTCTTCTTCTTTAAATCAAGACTCCTCTGTGGTCAGGGATGCAGGAGAGGATATATTGTTTAATTATATCCTTCCCAACTTGTGTTAACAAGTTCTATAGTTTAGCAGAGTAACATTCCCTTTTCTAAACTTGCACAGCGGATAGGTTTGGCAGGCTTGTATAAGCCTCTAAAATAATTCCCCTTTATTCCCTCATAAAAAGATTAGACAAGACACAGTCTTGTATAAAAGTATATAAATATACTTTTATATATAAAAGTATATAAAATAGTTTACTCACATTCTGTTCACAAATGGATCCCAGAAGGCAGACTTAGGTTACAAAATATATACACCTGGAATCTATCCCATAAGGAGATAGTTCCTTTGTTCTCTCATGGCTGGAAGACAAGAGAGCATCTCAGGCTAAGCAGGTGTTGCTTCTTCGAGGAATGGAGTCAGAGAGAGATATGGCTCTGTGCTAATTTGTTACCTGCACAGGTGAGGTCATGCCCACCTCTGGTCACATGTAGAGGAAGTTTACATGCCCAGGAGGAAACAGGAAGTTCTGACTGGCTGGTCCAGACACCCCCTTTTTATGTCTACTCTGGGAATGTTGTATTTGACTGCTCTGTGTTTCACACGCCACACACTCCACTCCCAGTTTCTTCCCTGTCCTCTGCCCACTGCTCAGAGCTGGCGCATCACGTGGGGCTGGGCCTCGGTGATGGCAGTCTCTCCTCCTCCTCCTCACCCCCTCTCCAGAAGCTGCTACAAGCTGCCCAAGGGAAGAGGCCAGCAGCAGCCATGGAGAGGCAATGGGATGTTCCCTCACAACTGCTGTCGCCACTTGGGACAAGCGGCGGCTCATCCGTCTCTCCGAGCTTAGCAGCAGCAGCACTGATGGGGAAAATTGGGACATTCCAGGATCAAATCAGAAACTGAGATGACTTTCATAATTCTGGGACTGTCCCTGGAAAATTGGTAAACTTGGAGGGTATGTTGGTAAGATTGGTGCTAGGTAGGTATTGGCTGCTACTATTATTATTGATGAGGCCCTGCTTGTTGTTTTACATGTTTTTATTATTAATGTAATGTTTTGTGCTATTATTAGCCACTCTGGCACGCCCTTCTGAGGATAACATGGCAGATAAATAAATAAAAATGCACCAATTTCCTGGTGTCCCTGGGATGAGAGCCATATCTGGGCTGTGCTTCAGAAGTGATGGCATATATGCTTTCTCTGACCTATAGCTTAATCTCAGTGTTGGTTGTGAAAATGAACGTGTGAGGCAACTCTTGTGAGGGAAAGGCTGAAGCCATAATGAGAGCAAGAAAGAACGCCAGACGTAACCATGTCCTGAGTCAAGTCTATGAAAGTGAGCAACTTCCAACCATTTCTGGTATTTCCTTTTATCCCCAAGCTTGAGTGGTTCATAAGGTGCAAGTATTAGGAAAACACAGTCTTCCTGCTTGGCAGGGGGTTGGACTCGATGGCCCTTGTGGTCTCTTCCAACTCTATGATTCTATGATTCTATGGCATATGTACTAGAATAGATTTTTCTAGTATAGCTATTCCAGACAAATGTTCATGTTAATTAGACTATTGCTTGCAGCAAAACTAACACAGAGTCTCTTGTGGCATCTTAAAGACTAACATATTCATGAATCTTACGTAGGCTCTGGTCTATGAGAGCTCATGCCATAATGAAATTTGTTAGTCTTTAAGATGCCACAAATACTTTATTGATACATTTATATGTGATTTATCATCTCTTTGCCTGTCTTTCCTTCCATGTTTTAGTACCTTAATTTCATAATTTATTTCATAATTTATTACGGTCAAAGACCAGCACGAAAAGCACAACTGGGACAACTTTCACAAGAATAAAATATACATGTAAAGTACCTTAATTAATTAGGTTTCAGTTGTGACAGTATCTACTCAGAAGTAAGTTCCACTGAATTCAATGGAACTTCAGTCCTACGTAAGTGGGGTTAGTGTCTCAGCCCAAGGCCCCAACTTCCCTTAGATTCATGTAACTCTACAGTGATCATGAAATGGATGCAGATGTTCAAGATCTTGCACTGCAGATACAGTTGCATCCTGTTCAGTTCCTCCCAAACCATGCTTTCTGCCAGCATTGTCAGTAGGCAGGTGAGCTTAAGAGGTAACAGAAAAGGGCTGTTCTCTGGAAGGTGATTGAAGTGGCATCTGAGTTATGACTAATTTATTCAGAAATCAGAATTTAGAGATTTTTTTTGTCACATCACTCACCACAAATAATAATTGAAACCTCTGTGATGCCGGAGGCATGTTTCAGTTTGTTGTTCAGGTCACTTCATTTCATTTTTAAATTTTTAATGGTTCATTTAATGTGACTGTCTTGACTTTTCAAAAGCCATATAAACTGGGTCTTTTGGGGGGTCAGTGATTGTTATTTTATAAGCCTTACCTATAAAAATTGGAGAACTAAAGAGGAAGGATCAGTCACTCGAGGGTTATACTGTAAACCAGGAGTGGGGCACCTGCTTTCAGGCCAAGGGCCACGTGGAATGATTAATGGGGCCACCTTAAAATAGTGGGAAGGACCACAGTCCACAATTGATGGGACCAGATCAAAAAAGTGACATTCCCAGACTCGCACTCCCTTAGCTCACACTACTTAACACACACATGCAGATACACACAATCGTACTACGGCTGGATCTAGACACGTCAGCTAAACATGTTGCATAGTCATACAGGGAAATCTGGTAGGGAAAGATGGGACTCCACAGCGCCATCTGGTGTCGCATATCTAACGCATATAAAGCTCTTTTTCTTTACCAATTTAGCTGAGTCCCTAAACACACACACAGGCAATCATATACACCTCCCCCCCCTTCCCAGTTCTCCTCCTCATCTACTGATATATGCAGAGCAGCTGAGGAGGGGATATTTCCATTCCTATCACAGAGCACTGGGTGAGGAGTTTTAAAGCTTTCTGCCCAGCATGCCAAGATGTGGAGGAAATTCGGGACCTCACCATTCCTCAGATGATCTATGACTGTCAGCAGATGACTGAGGAAGGCCTGGTTTTAATCTCCATTCCAGTGCATGGAGTGGGGAGGTTTATACTCAATGTTGATGGAAATGAAAAAAGTCCCACCCCATTGGAATCCCCAATGCACTGGAGGGTGGCTGCCAAGGTGGGGGTCATGGCTTGGAGGAGGACCTGGGGAGTGATGGGTACAAGATAGGGAGGATTTCACAACATACACAGGAAGCTGCCTTATACTGAGTCAGGCCACTGGCCCACCTTGCCCAGTATTGTCTACACTGACTGGCAGTGACCCTCCAAGATTTCAGACAGGTTCTTGCCCAGCCATACCTGGGGATTCCCAGGATTGAAATTGCATGCAAAGTAGATACTCTACCAGTGTGCCATGTTATGCCCAATATGGGGGGGGGGGCAGCATGCACATGACATCACACAGTGGGAGAAGGCCCAATGGGGCCCATGGGGCCCTCCAAAATGCCTGATGGGGCCTAGTCACAGCCATGAGATGGCCTGACAGAATGCACTGCAGCCACAGGAGGGTCCAATGGGGCCTGCCCAACTGTGGAATATGGAGGGGGCCTGGCCCCTTTAGTGAAGATGTGGGGGGGGTCGGCCCCCAGCTCCCCCATAGATGACATGCCTGGGAGAGCTACAACCTGAGAGTGGACGAGAGGTCAACTTTCTATTATCATTGATGCTATTACATACAGTCGGGGACTGGCTGGATGAGGAAGTGTGGTGGGAGCTTCCTGCCTGAGCCCCCAGGGAAGGCACAGAAGACAATGACTTAGTTCCCGAATCCTGGTGGTGGGTCACTGAAGAGATGTCTGCAGAAGGGACAAGTTGGGAGCTGCTAGAAGCAGGGGGTTGAGTGATCAAGGGGGTCAGGAGAAGAAGGGCCTTCTGGGACAGGGTTAGAGGCTGAGAGTCACTTGCTACACAGCAGCAGGACCCTCCCAGTCTTGCTGGCTCTCCTCCCCCTCTGACACCCCGATTGAGGGTAGTCCTGCACATTGCTGAGCAACAGGCCAGACAGGCCCAGAGGAGGAGCTCGCTCCCTTGACGCAGCCTTTCGTCTGCTTGGGACAGATCCAGAGTGAAAGGCTAGAGGAGAAGGGCAGGGCTCAGTTTCAGCAATGTCTCAGCTGGATTAAGATGAAGCAGAGGACTCTACTGTGTGGTTACTGTCTGTTTTTAAAGAAGCTAATGGCTCTCTGTGCCTCCCATGCTCTCCTGCCCTGTGGATGAGCTAGGCTCACTTGACAGTTCCTTGACACATACTTCCTGTGGGACTTCGGGAGGGCGGAACCCCAAGTGTGTGATGCATCTTCTTTCCAACATCTTCCACAACTGTAGCATATAGAGGTCTACATGCATAGGCATTCCCTTGTAAACATCCACACTTGAACCTTGAGTGTAGGGATGAGGCCAGAAGCAGCCCAGTTCTTTAAGTGATTACCCTTCATGTAATTCACTCGTGAAGAGGCTTATCACATAGCTAAATTTGATTAGATGTATAAAATTGCACTGCCATCCCATTAACTGTATGATACTTGATTGCCCACTGTACTTATTCCTTGGCAGAAAAAAAACACCTTTGTAATTTAAAGAAAAGTATGGCACTGGAGGATCAATAGATCAGGGAGATTAGATTGGGTGGTGCAGATAAAAAGTTAGGCTTTGTGAATCAATCTTCTCAATTGGAGAGAGACCTGCTAAATAGTAACATTAAGGTATTGTCAAAAATGTTGCTACTGGAATAGCCAGCAAAAGATGAGCAAGTAAAATCTTCAATAATACATTGGGACATGGATATAGGATATAATATTGAAATGTGGGTGTGGGAGCAATTGTGGAATGTAGATTTAAAATTTGCAGCATGTGATGGGCTGAAGGAAAACTATTTGAAAATAATGTAATGACACTTAATAGATTAGCAAAAATGTATAAATCTGAATTGAATATTTGTTGGAAGTGTAAAGAAAAAGAAGGTACCTTTTTCCATATGTGATGAACTTGTAAGAAAGTAAAAGCCTACTGGGAAATGATATACAATGCATTGGAAAAAAAGATTTAAGATAACCTTTTCTAAGAAACCAGAGGCTTTTCTTTTGGGGATAATGGAATTAGAAATACCCAAACAATAAAAAAAAAAAAATGTTTGCGACCACAGCAGCTTGTATGATATTTGCCCAAAGATTGAAAGAAGACAACGTCCCGATGAAAGAAGAATGGCAGCAAAAACTATTGGAATAGGCAGAAGTGGCGAAACTTACCGGAAGAATAAGAAATCAAGACTTAGAGTGGAAATAGATTATTGAATATTTTTTAAAATTATTGTAAACAGTAATCATTAGCGGGATTAATGTAAAGATGTGCAGTTTGATATAAAACTAATTTTGATTATATGGGATAAATAATAACTAGGTTTTAACTAGGAGATGCAGTAAAAATATAAACATAAGCAACCATAGAAAGGGGGGAGGGAGGTCAAAATGGGGTATTTGAAACGATGTAAAACGATTTTATTGTTCAATGGAAAATGATAAAATCTTTTATTAAAAAAAAGATGGGGTGGGGCAAAGAGTCACATGATCTGTGTTATATAAGGACATATTTCTGCCCCTAAAACACTAGTTTGGACTTGACAATAAAAAGGGAAGAACACTGACGTGTAAGTCATGCTCAAGTGTTGAGTGCATTGCTCTGCTTGCTTCCTTTAAGGAAGAAATTGGCAGTGTTTTTTGTCTCTGGGACTTTTTGCTGACTGCATAGTAGTTAATAGAGGGTAAACCACCTGACGAAGAATACAATGGCATTTTCACATCAAGACTTCCCACAGGAGACATTATACCTTCAAGAGATGGAGTGTGTGTGTGTGTGTGTGTGTGTGTGTGTGTGCGCGCGCATAATGGCATGCCAAACAGGATGTCACTTACACTCGATTGGCCACAATTGTCAGGGTTCACTTCCATTAAGCTTTGTGTCAGTTCAGAAACTGTGCATGTGGGGCTGTGTGAAGCGTTCTACCACTGCTGACTGCCCGGGGCTAGCCCACAGAACCAATCTTGTCTTTGGTTTTCCCAGAAAGCCTTGCAGAGAATTAGTTGCATATGTTGGCCAGCCTAACCATTTGAGGCAATTGGCCTTTTATCAACCATTTAACATTTTCCTGGGGAAGACTGGGCAAGAAAGGGGGGGGGGCTAAAAAAAACAAACTTTACATCACAGAAGCAACCTCTGATGGTGAATGTATGGCAATGGTGGGTGGGGAGAAATTGCTTCCCAGCTTTAGTTTAGCAGCATTTTTTGCGAGTTTAAAGAAATAAGTATCATCAGACTAGTGCTTTTTTAAACAACCCAACAATGACAATTTAACACTTACATTTCACTCCTGCTTTTATAACATGTAAAATGAACATTTATCCTCATTCATATTTACCGTACATTTCTCTTCCTCCTCCCCATTTTTATTGCCCTAATTTTATCAGTTGTTACTTTTGTTGATTCCGGAAGCTGCATTTAGCGCAGAATGCCACAGTGTGGTTGCTGACAGGAGTGTGACTCTGCCTGCATATAACCCCTCTGCCCAGAGATCTGCACCTGTTGCCCATTTACAGAAGGGCCAAGTTTGAGTTGTCACTGTTAGTGTATAAAGAGTTTAACAACTGGGAAATAGTTTACTTGTGGGACCTCCT